AGAGAGAGAAAGGGCGTGAGAGAGAAAATAAAGAAAAAAATACAAAGAGAACGAAAAAGAGAGAGAAAATAGAGGGCAAATGAGAGAAAGAGATTTTCTTTTTTGGAAAAAAAAATAAAAATCACGGACAAAGCAGGATAAAGGGTAGATAAACTGGGAAGGAAAAAAGGAAAGGGAAAGAAAAGACAGTGAAGTATGTATAATGACAGAGAGAGACCCATAGAGTGATTGGAGAAAGAGAGACAAAGCTAAAGTATACATAAAATCGACAGATACAATTCTACTGAGGCAGAGAGAGAGAGAGAGAGAGACAGGCGAGGATCTCAAAGAAACAACTAAACAATTTGATGAATACATTTATATAATTAATTCATAAATCAATTATTTAAGATAATAATCTTGTACTCTGAACTTTAGGAAACTGATATATCACAAAACTATTGAAACACAATATGAATTCTTCATTCTTGCAAGTAAAATACTCCCGATTATATTTATGCTCTCTAAGAGCATCCATAAGTCATTCACTGGAGCCTCGCAGCATCTTCATTCCGTTATCTTTTGCGTATGCAAATGAGCGCTATGAATATTTCATAAACGAAGCTGCGAAGCTCACACAGATATAGACGCAAAAGAGCTGACATCCAAAATTCGGAGAAGAAACATTGAAATAACCTTAAAAACGGATTCGTAACTTGGGATAGATATGCGTACTTTGTAAACTTTTTTTTTTTTTTTTTGGCATATCAAATGATCGATGCAAATGCGACTTGAAAGTTTCATCAATCAGCATTTTGATCAGATTTGGACTCTATATATTTCGTATTTATAATATGCTGAAGTAATAGTTGCGATTTGCATATTGCACAGCGGAATTTCGTTTATCGAGTTTTATTGGGGTTTATGCAAGACAGGATATATTGAGATTGTATATAGTGCAGTGCCCATATATATCTATATATATATATATCGGAGCAAGTGTTAAATATTTATGGACCGTAGCCCGGCAAATCGTATGCCTTGCATTTCAGCACTATCAATGCTTCTACTAGCTGGCTTTTCCATTTTCTCGTAGCGTTGAACTCCAAAGTCGAAGGCTAGATGCCAGATGCTAAGTGCTACATAGGCGAATGCATTGCAATATCATTAAACCCAAAAAGAATAACAAAAACAAGCCAGAATTGTGCAACGAGGCGTAACGGACAGCATAATACTCGCTTACGGCACGACAGGGCAACAGAAATTGATAAGGAATTTGATTGATTTTCCGACATTCGATATTATATGGATCTATTTATAGGATATTTGTTTGTAGAGAAGAATTATATAATTGAAGGGCAGTTGTAAAATTATTGTAGTTAATATATGCTGCAAGAGAGATCGAAAATCATTCCAAGAAACTCTAATAACTGTAACTTCCATTGTTTTACGACTAGCGTGTAAATTTGGATCTATTAATAGAGAACTTTTCTACTGATAATGGTACAATGCTTTCAAGGCAGAACTATCTGTCAATAACATGCCAACCTCTGGTATTTCCTCAGTTCTTTTCCATCTCTCCCATCTCTAGGGCAACATAACTATGATAACTTCTTTTATTCTATATTATAACATATATTCTAGATATTGCAAAAAGAATATATGTAATAATTGCCAATTTGTTGAGTTCATACTGGATGAGTTAAATAAAGTGTTGTTTTAAGACGAGAGTACGCAGGATAAGTACTTCCAAATTTAATTTGAATTTATTTACAATTAAGTTCATATATATTAATAAAAAATTTCTAAAAGCGCAAAGCCAATATACCCCTTCCAGTTGCTGAGCTCACGAGCATACAAACTCTTAAGACTGCTTCGGGGAGTCTGGAGAAATGAGTATATATAACATATATATCCCACATTTCAAGACGGCAACCTCAATAACAACAACAGAGATTACATAAAG